ACTTTTAAGTTATCATCATCAACCGTGCATAACATCATCAAAAGATTCAGAGAATCTGGAACAATCGCTGTGCGTAAGGGTCAAGGCCGTAAAACTCTACTGGATGCTCGTGATCTCCAGGCCCTTAAACTTCACTGCACCTCAAACAGGAATGCCACTGTCAAGGAAATAACAGAATGGGCTCAGGAATACTTCCAGAAAGCAATGTCAGTGAACACAATCCACCGTGCCTTCCGCCGTTGCCAGCTGAAACTTTACAGTGCAAAGAGGAAGCCATTTCTAAGCAAGCTCCACAAGCTCAGACGTTTACACTGGGCCAGGGGTAATTTAAAATGGAGTGTGGCAAAATGGAAGACTGTTCTGTGGTCAGATGAGTCGCGATTTGAAGTTCTTTATGGAACACTGGGACGCCATATCATGTCATCCGGACCAGAGAGGACAAGGATAGCCCAAGTTGTTATCAACGCTCCGTTCAGAAGCCTGCATCACTGATGGTATGGGGTTGCATGAGCGCTTGTGGCATGGGCAGCTTGCATGTCTGGAAAGGCACCATTAATGCAGAGAACTATGTTCAGGTTCTAGAACAACATATGCTCCCATCTAGACGTCATCTCTTTCAGTGAAGACCCTGCACTTTTCAACACGATAATGCCAGACCACATTATGCAGCAATCACAACATCATGGCTACGTAGGAGAAGGATCCGGGTACTGAAATGGCCAGCCTGCAGTCCAGATCTTTCACCTATAGAGAACATTTGGTGCATCATAAAGAGGAAGGTGCGACAAAGAAGGCCCAAGACGATTGAACAATTAGAGGCCTGTATTAGACATGAATGGGAGAGCATTCCTATTTCTAAACTTGAGAAACTGGTCTCCTCTGTCCTCAGACGTCTGTTGAGTGTTGTAAGAAGAAGGGGGGATGCCACAGAGTGGTAAAAATGGACTGTCAAAACTTTTTTGGGATTTGTTGACGCCATGAAATTTGGAAACAACAGATTTTTCCCTTAAAATGATACATTCTCTCAGTTTAAACCTTTGATCTGTGATTTGTGTTCTATTCTGAATAAAATATTAGATGTTGGCACATCCACATCATTGCATTCAGTTTTTATTCACAATTTGTTTAGTGTCCCAACTTTTTTGGAATCCGGTTTGTAGAAACATCTTATCTAAAAATGATGCAGAAAAACTGGTTCATGCATTTGTCACGTCTAGACTGGACTATTGCAATGGTTTATTATCTGGGTGTCCAAATACTTCTTTAAAACGTCTTCAATTAATCCAAAATGCTGCTGCCAGAGTCTTAACTGGAGTTAGTAGGAGAGATCATACCTCTCCAGTTTTAGCTTTTCTCCACTGGCTCCCTGTCAAATCCAGAATATATATCAAAATCCTACTTCTAAGCTACAAAACTCTCAACAACCTAGCTCCATCTTATATTACATAGCTTATTGTTCCATATTTTCCTAACAGAGCACTTTGCTCTCAGGCTGCAAGTTTATTTGTGGTTCCTAGAGTTTCCAATAACAGAAGGGGAGGCAGAGCTTTCAGTTATCAGGCTCCTCTCTTGTGTAACCAACTTCCAGATTCTGTCTGTGAGGCTGACAGATTATCCAGTTTTAAAACTGGGCTTAAGACTTTCCTTTTTGCTAAATCCTATAGTTAGGGGCGGCTTGGGTTTCCTGAGCTGTCGTTTAGTTATGCTGCTATAGGCTTAAACTGCTGGAGGACAAACTGACCACACTTTTTCACTCTGCACAAACTGACCACACTTTTTCACTCTGCTACTGTCTTTACTTGCTCTCCTCAACCTGTTTTGAATTTGGAATTATTTTTTCTATCTTAACATGTGTTTTTGTCTTTCAGGTACACCTGGACCTACAAAGTATATCTGGACCTGCCTATCTGTGTTTGTTTGTCTCTTGTTTCTGTCCTCTCAAACCAGCCGGTCAAAGCAGATGGTCACTTGTCCTGAGCCTGGTTCTGCTGGAGGTTTCTTCCCTATAAAGGGAGTTTTTCCTTTCCACTGTTGCCACTGTGCTTGCTCTGGATAGGAGACTGCAACAAAGCCAAGATTCAATTTGTCTGCTGCATAGAGAATTTACTAATTGGCTTTTCTATGTATGTGAATGTTTCTGTAAAGTGCCCTGAGACAACTTTGTTGTGATTTGGCGCTATATAAATAAACTGAATTGAATTGAATGGAAGTCCACTGTCCAGCAGGACAAGTATGGACACCAGTCAATTTTCTGACAGGAAATGTTTGAACACAAGTCCATCATCTAACAGGACAAGTATGTACCCAAGTCTATGTTCAGACAGGAAGTATGTGCACAAGTCCACTGTCTGTGGCCAGAATATAATTAGTATCACTCGCCAACACACAATAATTATGAAATACGATTTAATTTTTTTTGTTTGATTGTTTGTTTGTTTCTAAAATTCCAACATTAGGAGCAAACAGCTTCCTTTTTGTCTCCCATTGTGGGGTGAAGAGGGGAAATTGGAAATGGAAATCTGGGGGTCGGTCTGTACGTACCTGTTGTGAGTATGATAACTTGAAAAATGTGAAGTTCCGACTTTCATTTTGGTGCGTGGCTGCATCTAGGCATAAGAAAGGTCACTATAAAAACTGTGTTGCCATGTTCAAATCCAAGATAGAGTCCACCATATATGCATCTATGTAAATGTTGTGAGCTAGAGAAGTTGGCCCTTGGGGTGGACATACATTAATCTTTTGGGGCCAAGGCCAGCAGTGGCCATCCCCTAGCTCCTCCACTGCACCTGGTGGTGGATACAGTTTTTCCTTCCACTTACCAGGATCCGTCACTCTGCACTGCCTCAGGAGATCAGGATTTTTCAGTCATGGGCCCTAAACTCTGGAACAACCTGCTCCCCAACATTAGACAGGCCCTTTCACTTCCTGTTTTTAAAATCTCTTTTAAAACGCATCTGTTTTCTCCGGCTAAAAATACAATGTGATTTGATTTAGTATTTTATTGTTATGTGTTTTATGTTCTTCTTTCGATGCTTTTAATAAATTTTTGATATTTTTTCTTTAAATTACTGCCATTGAATTTTATTGTTAAGCACTTTGATAACAGCTGCTGTTTTCAAATATGCTTTATAAATAAATTTAACTTGACTGCCACAGACAAAAAAAAAAATACAATAAAAAATATAAAATTTCTACCTCTGATCTTCTTCACAGTGTAACTCCTACCCACTTGAACCTGTTGCACCAAAAAACATCAAGGTTTACTCATATCAAAAATTAAAAGCCTTCACTGCTCAAATCCCTCAGAGAGGGGGACATTGGTGTGGATCCTGCATATAGACTGTAAATGGTAAATAGACTGTACTTATATAGCACCTTTCTATCTTATATCAAGATACCCAAAGAGCTTTACACCACAATCTGTGTCCTCATTTACCCATTCATACAGCACTCTACTACTTTGTAGATCGCTACAAAGCTAATTGAACAAATCATTCTACTGAGACTAAGCAGTGCTTTAGATCACATTCATACACTGATGAGACACACATCGGAGGCAATGAGGGGTTCATTGTCTTGACCAGGGACACTTCAACATGTGACTGCTGGTGGATTTGAACCCCCAACTCTTGCATTGGAGGACGACTGCTCAAACCACTCAGCCACAGCTGCAGAGACGGGGACATCAGTGTGGATCCCTCAAAGATGGGGACATCGGTGTGTTTCCCTTAGAGACAGGGGACTTGGGTGTGGATCCCTTAGAGACGGGACATCAGTGTGGAGCCCTCAGAAATGGGGACATTGGTGTGTTTCTCTCAGAGATGGGGGACATCGGTGTGTATCCCTCAGAGATGGGAACATTACTGTGGATCTCTCAGAGATGGGAACCACTGGTGTGGATCCCTCAGAAACGGGGGACATTGGGGAGGATCCCTCAGAGACGGGGACATCATTGTGTTTCCCTCAGAGACTGAGACATCTGTGTGGATCACTCAGCGATGGGGACATCAGTGCGGCACCCTCAGAGATGGGGACATCAATATGGATCCCTCAGCAACGGGGACATATTTGTGCTGCTTGTTTACATGATAATCAGGGATTCAGACTGATTAACTGAATGCAATTTAACAAACTTACAAAACTTTAATAACAATATAAATAATTTTAAAGTACAACTATAACATTGTAACAACTCAAATATTACCAGTGCAACATGTAGTTTACAGTCTTTATACATAGATGAAAATTGACATTTTTGGCCTAAAACAGACTGAACTTTGTCTACACAACATACTTTGTCACCAACAGTTTGTTTTTCTCTCTGTTTAAATCCACAAACATATTCATAAACCAATATTCAGTAAACATAAACTCTTCATACTAAGTCCCAATAATAATTGTCATGAATAAAGATGTTGGGGATGTGAAGTCGTGACGATCAGCAGTAGTCTTGCACGAAGCAGCTGTTCAAATGTTACTGCTGTGGAGGGTGATTGAACTGACCCATGAACAGAACTGCATCTAAAACACACAAGAATACAGGAGAGTAAGTACCTCACCTGACAGCCTCAGGCAGAGCCGTAGAATAAACCACTTTGTTACCTGTGGGTTTGTGCTGAATGAGAAAGAGGAAAGGTCGGTCTAGAGTGATCTCTGGTACTGCCATCCGAGAGAACATGACTGCAGCTGAAAGAGAGAAGAAAAAAGGGCAAAAGCTCTGTCAGTGGTGGGAAATCAGAATCAGAATAAGCTTTATTATCATTCCAAAAAAGTTAAATCTGGTCCTCTGGACATTCAAAAAAACCAAAACAAAGCAAAACAACAAAAAATGTAGAAACGTTTCGTCTCTCGTCCGAGAGACTTCTTCAGTCTGAGGTGCTGTTTGACTCTGACTCTGACTCTGACTCTGACTCTGACTCTGACTGTTTTCAGCTCAGTCTCTTAAATAGCACCTTCTCAGAGTGGATCAACCAGTTTGCTGCTGACAACCAAAACCAGCTGCTCACATGGTCAAGAAGGACCATCAGCCTAACAATGGATCATTAGCACACTGATGGCTGTTTACTATTCACGGGGGGCTGAGTGATACTAGCAATCACAGCATTGTAAGAGGGGGACAGTTGAACCCGGAGGCCTCCACCCCTGTTTAATGATGGACGATTTCTTTTCACAAAGATGGCCTCCTTTACTCCTCTCTCAAACCATCGTTCCTCTCTGTCCAAGATGAGACGATGACAAAGTCAATCATCGAACTGTGGCCTAGGGTGTCCTGGTACCAAGAGCACATATGGACACCCTTATGCTTGAACAAGGTGTTCGTTATGGACAATTGATGACGAGCACAGAAGTCCAATAACAGAACACCACTCCGGTTCAGATCAGGGGGGCCGTTCCTCCCAACCACACCCCTCCAGGTCTCACTGTCATTGCCCACATGAACATTGAAGTCCCCCAGCAGAACAAGGGAGTCCCCAGGAGGTGCACTTTCCAGTACCCCCTCCAAGGACTCCAAAAAGGGTGGATAATCTGAACTGCCGTTTGGTGCATAAGCACAAACGACAGTCAGAACCCATCCCCCCACATGTAGGTGGAGGGAGGCCACCCTCTCATTCACCGGGTTAAACCCCAACACACAGGCACCAAGTTGGGGGGCAATAAGTATGCCCACTCCTGCTCGATGCCTCTCACCATGGGCAACTCCAGAGTGGAAGAGTGTCCAGCCCCTCTCAAGGAAACCGGTTCCAGAGCCAGAGCCATGCGTAGAGGTGAGTCCGACTATTTCTAGCCGGAACCTCTCAGCCTCACACACCAGCTCAGGCTCCTTCCCCACCAGTGAGGTGACATTCCATGTCCCAATAGCCAGCTTCTGTAGCTGAGGATCAGACCGCCAGGGTCCCCGCCCTCGGCCACCACCCATCCCACATTGCACCCGACCCCTTTGGCCCCTCCTACAGGTGGTGAGCCCATGGGAAGGGGGACCCACGTCTCCTCTTCGGGCTGTGCCCGGCCGAGCTCCATGGGTAAAAGCCCGGCCACCAGGCGCTCGCCCGCGTGCCCCACCTCCAGGCCTGGCTCCAGAGTGGGGCCCCGGTAACCCACGTCCGGGCAAGGGAACATTAAGTCCATTTGTTTTTCTCATCATCAGGGTCTTTGGGCTGCACTGTGTCTGGTCCCTTACCTAGGACCTGTCTGCCATGGGTGACCCTACTAGGGGCGTAAAGCCCCTGACAGCATAGCTCCTAGGATCATTGGGACACTCTAACCTCTCCACCATGGTAAGGTGGCAGCCCAGAGAGGACCCCATTTTGTTTTTATTTAATATGTCAGTGGAATGAAGTTGGCATTCATTTTTTTTTTACTTCACTTTGATGTTGGTCAGCTGGTACTGTGGACACCCTTGACTAGTCATTGATAACTGTGGCATTATGACCCCCATCCTCTTGACAGACAGACATTTAAAGATTATAATCTCTCAAAACCATGGTTAAACTTTCAGACCTCCAACATTGAACCAAGAGCTATCAATTGCCTTACCTGTTTATTTTAATCTCTGAAAAGGCATATGATGTTGACTTGTTATAACAAATGATATTTGTCACCATTTTACCCACACCTGTTGCTCAGGGACAAGTTATTGGCTGTTGACCTATGACTGTTTTCCTAAATACAATGTAATATGAATGCCATGTTGTCATTTTTAAGTTTGTGTTCACACATTTTTGGAAATATGGTAATGTAAGATAATTTTGAACAACATAATGAATGTAAGGTAATTTTGAACAACATAAGGGTGGCTGTGGCTGTGGCTGAGTGGTTAGAGCAGTCGTCCTCCAATGCGAGAGTTGGGGGTTCGAATCCACCAGCATTCACATGCTGAAGTGTCCCTGAGCAAGACACTGAACCCCTCATAGACTCTGATGTGTGTCCCATCAGTGTATGAATGTGATCTAAAGCACTGATTAGTCTCATTAGAATGATTTGTTCAATTAGCTTTGTAGAGATCTTGTAGAGTGCTGTATGAATGGGTAAATAAGGACACAGATTGTAATGTAAAGCACTTTGAGTGTCTTGAAATAAGATAGAAAGGCGCTATATAAGTACAGTCCATTTACCATAATACCCATCATCTGCCAACAATATTGTGTGTGTAACACTAGTACTAAATGAAGAAACTTGTAATGGTATGTTACGATGTAGACCTATCAGCAGAAATTAAAACTAAACTTTTGTAATGGGCTTCACATAGTAAATGCATTAAAAAAGTTAAATATTTTAATGTCAAATGTACATGAATCAATATTGATTTCTTAACTTTGATTCAATATAAAATCAACACAAATGTAAATGTAGATTAGCATTTATATGATGGTTGAGTCAACATTGAGTATCAGTTATGGTTGAAAACCTAACATTGATTCAACATTTAAGTCACCAACCACTTTCTGTATAATTTAAATGTCAAGCTTCAACATTGATTCAATATTTCTGCCTAACCATATTTCAATCTTGATTCAATCATATTTTGCTATCTAGGAAGTGTTGAACAGACTTATTAGGCTGATGCCATTGCTTCCTGCTTTTGGAATGAAACGGCAGAAGCTAGTAAGAAATGTCTAGTTATAAGGAGATATTTTTCCTGTAAATGACAGCAACAGGTTTTTTCATCTCATCAGGAAGCAATGGCAATCATCCAATGAAATGATTGAGCAATCATATTTTGGTAAGATCTTAAGTTTTAACTGTTATAACACCACTGTTTTACATTATCATTTAATCATAGTGTACAGCACAATATAAACTCACATATAAGGATAATTTAATCTCACACTTACTCATAATCTCACAGTCACATATTTATGCATTACTAAATATATCAGAAAATTTGGCAGCATTGGTTTATTTGAGGAATTTCCTCTAACAGGGAGGATTGTAAGATTTAAGAAAATATATTAATTGGATAATTTGTTTTTATAACAGGGCCCCAGCAAGATGTAGTATTAAATTATTCTGAAACTCAGTATGACCTGCAGAGAATGTGTTCAACAGAACTTGCTTTCAACAGGCTCAGAGTTTGAAGATGTGTTCCATATATGAAGCTTGTTCCAGTCAAGTTAACTTGAGAACCAACTTCTAGTTTCTGTCTGTAAGGCTGACACATTGTCTACTTTTCAGACTAGGCTTAAGTCTTTCCTTTTTGTTTAATGTTAAATTCTATAGCTAGTGTTGGCTTGGGTTTCCTGATCTATCCCTTAGTTCTGCTGGTATTGGCTTAGACTTCCAGAGGACAAACTGACCATGTTTCCTCCCTCTGCTGCTGTCTTTATTTGCTCTACTCTACCTGTTTGCATTTGTAATTATTTCTATGTTAACGTGCTTTTTTCCCCTTCTATAGAAAGTACATCTGGACGTGTCATTCTGTGTTCATTTGTTTCTACTTCCTGTCCTCTCAAATGCAGCCAGTCGAAGCAGATGGCTGCTTGTTCTGAGCCTGGTTCTGCTGGAGGTTTCTTCTTGTTAAAGTGAGTTTTTCCTTTCCACTGTCTTCTTTGTGCTTGTGCAGGATGGGAGACTGTGACGAAGTGAAGATTCAACGAGTCTGCTGGCTTCCTTACATAGAGAACTTGTACTAATTGTCTTTTATAATGTATGTGAATATTTTTGCAAAGTGCCCTGAGATGACTTCTGTTGGGACTTGGAGCTGTAGAAATAAAGTGAATTGAAGTGAATTGAATTAGATGATGGAGCTCCTCATTTTATGTTTAAGGCTGAACCTGACCACTCTGCAAAGGATGCTCATTTCAACCACTTGTATAGAGCAGCTTGCTTTTTGATCATGATCCATATGTTGTGACTATAGGTGAGGGATGGAATATGGACAGACCAGTAGATTAATAGCAATGACTTTAAGCTCATCTTCTTCTTTACTACAACAGACCAACGCAATTCCCATTACTGTATTCAAGACTCATATCCATTGACTCATCTCCTGCTCAATCCCACCATTCCTTGTGAACAAAACACACCAATACTAGAACTCTTCCTTAAGACAGAGACTCACCCCTGAACTGGAAGGAGCTTTCATCTTTATGAACTATGACCTCAGACTTAGAGGACACTGACTCCAGTCTTAGACCACTTCAAACTTGAGTCTGAACAACCCCAGTGCATATTGAAGGTCATAGCTTTAAGACACCAAGACAAGACCCTGAATTTCCCAAACCAGACCACCTGCTCTCCATGGCGGCATTTTGAGATGCAGTCTACAAACCCCAAAAAATGGATCCGAGACAAGGGACAGCATTTGTAAATGCCAACGCACATGCCAAGATGCCATGTCAAGATGCCATGAGCCAAGATGACCACGCTCTCGGGAGCTGCAGCTTCACTGGTACCCGGTGCAATTCCAGTTTTTAGGAGTTTTGAAATTGATCTGAGCCTGACTCTGTACACTTTATGCGTGTGAATTATAGCCAAACCGAATTCCTTAGATAGAGAACTTTACAAATTGGTTTTATGTATGTGAATGTTTCTGTAAAGTGCCCTGAGACAACTTTGTTGTGATTTGGCGCTATATAAATAAACTGAATTGAATTGAAATTGAACCAAACTGATGAGAATAAGAGAGGATTTACCACAGAATGCAGCTGCGATCAGCAACAATCTCAAATCTACGCTTGGCAGAATGC